ACTCTGGCAACTAAGAGTGTTAGCTTGAAATGACATGGGATAATCCTAACACCGAGATTAGAGTAACTTCACGTAGTTTGAATAATAATTTCCATGCAAAGGAAAGATTTGAAGGACAAGGATGAAAAAATCCAAACCTGCAAGCAAATCTCTGTGTCTCAGGTACCTACACTATTAGGATTTGTGTTCACACAGCAGAGGTCTCTGTTGGAACATTAATAACCCATATTTGACCAGACCCATATGGGCAATGTCATTGTGAGTTTTAAGAATAGAAGGTGGTGTCTAAAGAAGTTACTGCTGTTGCTCTTAGTCAGAACAGCACTTATGTTAGCAGAGTTGAGTCATTTTAACTGATGTCAGTATGGGTTTAGTGAATGCATTTGTCTCAGCAGGGTGATCCAAATGCTGTTTTTACCTGGGCTGTTGTTTTAAAAGTTACTTTGAAGTTCTGAATAAGAGCTCAGTAACACCTTTATTCTAGCATGAATAAAGAGAGAAAATAGCTCTCATATAAAACATAACAATTTCAGGAGTGCTAGAGTAAGAATGTATGGGTGAGTGTGTGCTTTTGTACCTGCAGAGCAAATATCCCACCCTCCCTTTCTGACCATATCAGTACAATGGTAAGATGGCCAGACCCATTTTTCTTGTCTTACCTTACGAATTTCCACGTGATCTCCCTTGGTCTTTGAACTGCCAGGCGTAGACAGCTAAATTAGTACCATCTAGGAAACAGGACTGTTTATATCCTCCTCACTCTTAACACTCCTGTGCAGTCTGAGCTGCAGATTGACCCCTATTGATCTGATTTGACTACACTTCTCTGGAGTAGACAAACAGTGCAGTAGAATTCAGGGACCCTAATTCACAGTACCTTATTTAGGTTCCTGGGTAATTCTTATTTGCATTAATCACATTCATCAGCAGAACCTGAGGCTGCCTCTTGGCTTTTATGCATTCCTGTTCCTGACAAGGGAACAAAAAGGTATCTGCATTGAAAAAGGACTGTTTTAAGAATATTGATACTTGATAGTTGCAAAACTTAACTATTAGAAAGAAAACTGTTTTTCAAATCAATGGCTCACGCATTACTGTAAAATATATCGATTAAAAACAAAGCTTAATGTTAGTCATTTAGCCAGCAGAGTGATGCAATACTGAAATAAATTTATCCTTTGACTTTTGCATTAACCTTTTATTGACTGCTTGCATACTCATAATTAACACACACTTTAGCTAGCTTGGTTAATTCTAGCATTGTGATCAGTGTGCTCTGATGTAGCTGACACCCTGATCATCAAAATGTCAGTGCAGCCCAGGGAACCATAACCAGGCAAGTGTCAGTCTCACTGAACAGATACACCTGCCCATGGAGATGGTAGCCAGCTTCCAGGGAAAGTGTCATGTATTGCCATGCAAGTGGTCATACATTCATACAAATGTTTGTCAGCACTTAGTTGAGCATATATTAATAGTTCTTGGTCAGTATTAACGAGCAAAGTCCGTTTGGAAAAAACAGGCAAAAAGGGAATCAAAAATCTGTGAACTTTACAGGGTAGAGGTAGTGAGAATGTACACTGCAACAGTAACTAATTGTTCCTTAAAAATGGGCTTTATTAATTGAAACTGCCACGAATCTAGACTATTTTAGTAAGAAAGCAGAGACTATGGAGTTTTGTGTATTCTGCACATCTTTAGACAAACAATCCTTTCTATAATATGTTGGTGAAATGTTGCAGCTAAATTGTTCTGAAATATATCATAGCAGTTTTTGTGTTGTGCAGATAAGATATTGAAGGTGCCCCTTGATTTGGCATCTATTCTGTATCTCAGAACTTATGTGATTTCCACTCTTTACACATTTTGTACATATGATATACGCAGATTAGTTCTGCTCTCTTTTGGACATTTGACTCTAATTATTCAAATAACAGTTTTTAATTGATATGGAATACCTTCATTAACTTATAATATTATAAATCTTGGTACTTTCCCATTACCACTGCAGTTCTGTGTTTGCAGTCTTTCCCACATGGAACCTCATAGTTTCTTTTGTATTTGGGAAAATAATTTCTGTTTATTGTGAGTTATTGTTGATAACTTATGTTAGCTATCACATACAAAAGAATTTGAAATAATTGTGTGCAGTCATCTGTGCCTTTGATTGTTCTGCTTCAGTTTAAAATATTGCTATCCTTTCACAAGGTATTCAGCTCTGTTCCACTGCTACAAATTAAAGACCATTGTAGGAACAGTTTCTCCTACAGAAATTTTTTTAAATCAGTAGTAATATACTCATCTGGAAGACCCGTTCTTGCACCCTAATTCTGAGTCAGAGCACATCTTTGTATGATTGTGTTCAATCTTGTGGTTGCTATTCAGGTGAACTGCCTAACGAACTGCCAGGTGCAGTGGTGACTGCTTAGAACCCAGCCCCATACCTTCAAATAGGAGCAGCTTGAGTTGGCTTTGATGTCAGCAGATCCAACATAGGGACTGTAGTTTTGTTCAAAATACATAATTCACAAAATGTAAAAATGTTCTGCTGTTCTCACTATATAAAGCAAAGCAGTAGTAATCCAACAGAAAGACAAAGGAGCTGTGGGATTGCTGAACTTGGAGTATTATGGCACTGCTTTCCCTTTTTTGTGCTTTTACAGTGATGCATTTCTGTCATCAGACTTGCACAACAACACTTCCACTCCTCTAATTTCTCACGTGGAATATGCTCTGGCTAAAACTTCCCAAGTGCATGATTGCCTGGAAGTTCAGGCCCATGCTTAGTTGTGGGGAGACCTTCCAGCAATGGCTCTGTGGGTAACAAAAGTAAAGAAGGGAAAGTAGTGAGTAGAGGCTCATGGGCTGTCCAGGCACGGCATCACCCTGACTGCTGCCATGTGTACAGCAACACAAATGCCCATATGTGAGGGGAAAGCTGGTCAATCCATTTGTGTGAGAGAGCAATGGTAAAAACTGTGAAAACTCTCAGTGAAAACTGTGTTGTTAATAGCAGATATGTGAGAGAGAGAATGTTTATTATTATCATAAGCTGAGTTTTGCAGACGACATAACATGCCTGCAGTACTTACTGGCTGAGCTTCCTGCTTTGTCATCTGTAATAATCTCTAGATGGTTAATTTATCCCCTTTTAGATTGAAATGCTTAAACTGGAATATCTTATACTACCCACCAAATAGATCATATTATTTTGTACCAAGGCAGAAAATAAAGCAAGATTTTAAAAGTCTTATAGACTTATGCCGTAATTAGTTTCAGCTTCCCCTGCATATTTATTTTCTCCTGTTCCTTTATATAATTTGGAAAATGTCTTCCAAACATGATGGCACGATCAATTAAGTACCTCTCAGAACCATACACTAAACTGCATTTGCTCTAACAACTATTATAAAGCAGCCAGCAAAACAAATCCTCTGTTATTCTGTACAGTGCAGCTTATCAATGCAAACAGTTTAATATTTATGCTAAGAGGATTGTCACAAGTAGCTTCTGTTCCTTTAATTCTTGTTTTAAATAAATAATGAGAACATTTAAACACATTACGCTTCCCAGGGCCCTGAGGTCGGCTAATCTTATTATTTATGAAGTGATGTGCTACATAATAGTACTTAGTGCATGTTAACAGATGCTATTATCAGGGGCTGATGTGGAGAGCTGAAGATATATTGGAATGTTATGTGTTAATACTGTCCTTGTAGTGTAATGTACGATGGATTGAGTGCCCAGGATGCTGGTGTGGCAATTAACCACCCACCAACATGGGTGTAAAGCTGAAGTATGTTTTCTCATGGGGATTACACTGCTATTAATAATTCCCAAGAGAAGAAGACATCTTTCATTTGGCAACAGTCTCTTCCAGAAGGTTGACAGTGTGGACAAGGAAGTTACATGTGTCAGTATTTTTCAAGTTCATTCTACAGAGATGAAAGACACACATATGTTTAAAACAACTTTTAAGTTCTTGCAATTATGTGCTTTACGGAACACGAACTTTAAAAAATGTCTTATAAAAGTGCATTTCTACATTTTGCTTGTTATCTCTTTAAAAAGCTATATAGGCCTGCAGTATATACCAAAATTGTGGTAATGTTCAGCATTTTTGTTTGCCTTGCCCCATTGTGAACATTGTGATTAATAAGCAACATGCAAATTGTTTGAGGGGAAGGGGAAAGAGGGAGAGAAATCCACCTTGAAGTGTGACAATTTTCTTGATGCAGCACATTGCATTACAGTCTAATCTTTACACATGTGATGGTTAACACTTATAAAACTTTCTTCTGCAGGCTGTAGTTCAGTTGAATATTATAATTAGACTTCACTAGTATTGATGAATAATCCATTTAATAAAAAACATTGTAATTTAAACATTTTCTCTGGGGACTAACATACACTAACCTCTTAATTTAATTTTATTGAAGTTTTGCCCACCTATTCATCATTGGAAGTTGTTATTAACCTCCATTTCCATTTATCTTTATAGAATTTTCTCTTTTTATATTGCCTTTTTCAGACCTAAGCAGGTTGATACACTTGTAAATCTCCAGAATCTACAAAGCTAGTCCGGCTTCTTTAATATTGTTTAATCTATCCCCCCTGACCTTAATGCAGTAAATTCAGTTTAATCTTTCTCAATAATCTAGTAATACATTGGAAACCGCCAAACATTTAAATCTGATAATGGTTTAATCACATACTTTAAATAACAGCTGAGATAATGAAAAAATAATTCACCATATAAAGGAACACTAACTGAGTTTTCTCTGTGATTGGCTTTTTGAGAAATCCCTGTAGAAAATACAAAGCCTACAACAGAAATCAACTTCACTGGAAATGAGCAATCCATTTGGTCAGAAGATGTCGTATTTCTTTTTTATTATCATCTTTCTCTTTAAATTAATGCACAAATGTATCCTCGCTGAGTATTCAGTTTCTGGATACAGTTTTACTTACGTAGTTCATCTGCTTACCTTTCTTTTCAGATGCCAGTCAGATGCAGCAGAGAGCTTGCCAGAAGACCAGAAACCAGAATGTCATCCCTTCTGGACAGATGATGATGAATGTAATATGCCTCTACCATATGATCTTGAAGAAGTAATTGCTTATCTGCAAAATCTTACTCAATGGATAACAAGTGACCTTCCAGCCTAGAATTATTGATGCTCATCATCTGGGGAGAAGCTTTGTAGTTTAACATAAATCCTTTTCAGCTTTATGATTCCTTCATTATGTGTTGTTTTATATGTCAATGCAGATTTTACCAGTCATCGCACAGTACCTTAGTTACTGTCTCATAATAAAAAAGACCAGCCCCCAAATTTACAGAAGCATGTGTTTTTTAAGACCTGAAGTCCAGAACACCAGCTTTAGTTCTGTCCTCCTCTGCTCTGATTCCCATTGACCCTACAGCCCAGGGATATCCATGTTTCACAGAAGCACAGAATGGATCAGGTTGGAAGGGACCACAGTGGGATCATATGATCCAACCTCCCTGCTCAAGCTGGGTTGTTCTAGAGCACAAGACACAGGATTGCATCCAGACAGTTCTTGATTATCTCCAGTGAGGGAGATATTACCCTCTCTGGGCAATCTGTTCTTCCTCATATTGAGGTGGGACTTCCTGAGCATCAGTTTCTGCCCATTGTCTCTTGTCCTGTATCTCGGCACCACCAAGCAGAGCCTGGTCCATCCTCTGACACCCTCCTCCAGATACTGGTAGTCATTGATAATGTTCCTTCTCAGTCATCTCTTCTTGAGGCTGAACAGGCCCAACTCCCTCAACCAGTGTGTTTTCACAGGTTCCTTTGGTATCTATATTTCAGCTTCCGTGAGTGCCTACAACTGCCTCCGGTTTGACAGGTTTGAGCAACACAAGGTGTATCTCATACCTGTGGCAAAGCAGACTTAATGATTTGGACATCCTAATGAGAGGTGAGGTTGGGGTGAGCCTGCTGGAGGTCTTCAAAACAGAGCTATGAATTCTTCATCCACTAACACGGAGGGGCAGGAGATGATGGAGATAATCCTTTATGCAGTGGCTCCTTGTTAGACCATTTTTTCTGATGAGGAACTCTGGAGGAGCATCCTAACATAGATCCCAAGACTTTCTTGCTGCTTTGCATCATAGCAGTTGAGTACTCCTGGGAGAGATTTCCAATGTGAATCTAAACCTCCTGGGCTCCCTGGAGCTCAGAATTCAGTTCCTAACCATTATTTTGTTTTTTACGTGTTGTGAATTCTGTTCTGAGACCAGGTTTCCCAGTGCACTGCCTGAAGAGCTGATGGACCTAAATAAGGATTTCCATTTGGGTTGTTGGGTTGATATTGGGCATTACAGCATCTAGTGAGATCTATGAGAACAAAACCAGAAGACTATGAGAAATGAAGCTGTTTGTGAACTGTTTTGTAGTAATGCGCTATAAAAAGAACAATTCTAGGTTGGATGATATATAGCACTGCTGAATGAGATAGAGAATTTTGATTTGGTTAAATTGCTATTTTAACTTGAACTGGTGTACAACTTTGCCACAAAAAGCAGAATAAAATCATTACAGTGAAAAAGCACTCAGGCTCTATTACCACTACAAAAGAGGCCAGTAAGACTCAGAGCTTGACGTTGCCACCAAGAAATGAATATGCCTCCCGTGTTAATCTTCTGTTTAAAGTCACTGCTGAGGCCAGGCTCACCCAGAGCATACCAGCATTCTGTACTGGCAAAGAGCTCTGTGTGCAGATGAGGCTTGTCCTGCTGAAAACTGTACTTTTGACAGTCTAACGTGTGCCAGACCTCCCTGGAGCTAAAGAAGCTGTGCCAGTAAAAATTCAGTTTTAGTGGTATGAAACTGTGTCCACACCTACAAGCTTTTGCCAGAACAATTATATCAAGTAGAGATTGTACCTCATAACACTTTTGGCATAGTTGTGCCAGCAAAACTGTAAAGACCTGAATCAAGTGTTTTCATTGTAGTCCTGGGCTTCTGCAAAAACTGTTAGCCACCCTTTAGAATGTAAAGACTCTCTCAAGAATATATTATTATTTAAAGTAGATTTAATTATATTATTACCTTGATCCACACATTTATCTATTGTCTCTTGTGCCACAGATTTCATATCATTTGGAAATGGGCATAGCTTTTTCTTTCCTGCACTAGCTAAAGCTGGCTTTACCAGTGGGCAAATAGCACGTATTTGGATTAGTGCCACACTAAACACTGTTTACTTTGGAGATCACTTAGGGAAAAGCTAGCTGAAGATGTGGGAATTCTGCTTTTGAAAAGGCAGTTCTTAGAAACAGATATTGCTTTGGAAATAAGCACTATGGATTCAAACAAGTTAATGATGTAACACGTTAACACAGTGTTTGAGAGGACTGTTTATGCTGTTACTTTATGATTACTTTGTGTTTAATTAAGCACTGCTAACAACTGTGGGGATCACAGTATTGAAAGGAATCTGACCGCCACAAAGGGTGGACAAGGCACATTGATGCTGTAGTTTTTAGCTGAAGTGGAGGCATAGCTATTAAAAAATGATCAGCAAATAATTATTTCCAGCAGCAGTAGAAAAAAACCAAACCACTAATAGGAGGCTGCTGGCAGTAATAATAGAATTTTTAAAAATACATGTTCACAGGTCTTGCCTTTGCTTGAAGATTTAAGGTAGTGAATTAGCTGAACTAGTACTAGTCTCAGTGCAGTCACATGGCACTCATTTAAGTCATGGATGGCAATGACATAGAGAAATGAACACCTTTGTAATGAATAAAACCTAAGATTCACTGCCAAAATACCAATAATCAAGTGATTAAACAAGATTAATGCTCTGTATTGCATTCCAGTCTCACATCATCTAAATCAGTATAACTTGATTGAGTTCAGTTGAAATGCAGAAGTATGAGATTTCATATCTCCAAAGCTCACAGGAGTTGGTAGCAAAGACATGAATAAGGCTGATGGAACTATTTGAAGCACATAGTAATGCCAAAGGGTACCCCAAAAGAAGAACACAGTTAAAGGTAAAAAATTATGTAAAAAATTATGTAAAAAACCTGGGAGATCAAGTGTAAATTATCTCTGTGTTGGGATTATGTACTAGAAGCTGACAAATACTTTGAGGTTTTCTTTTTATTCAAATAGTTATAATCTAGCTTTATTAAAATAGTTATAATCTACTAATGATAGTTTAGCAATCCATTTATATTCTAGCTTTAGATGACACGTTTCCATTTTAGATGAGCTGGAAGACACAGACTCTAATGGATATTCAGTGTATAGCAACTGTTTGCCAAGCCTGGCTGCTCCAGAAGCATGAGGACCAAGGTCAAGTTTTTTCAAGGAAGAGGTGAGAGCATAAATTAACTTCTGACATTAAATTCAGTGATTCTTTTTAAATGGCGAAGTTCATGACTTTGCTTACATTTACTTTTCACCAGCCATGAGCGAATTAAGGTAAAACAGTTCACTTGCACGTGTGCACCAGGCTAAATGGATTGCAGAAGATACAGATCTGTTTACCTGTCTGCACTTGCCTTTAGACAATATTCATCAATTTTACAAAAGCTACTGACTAAACATGGAACCAATACAAATGAAATGCTCGAGGCAAGGGCTTTCTTTTAAAAATCTGATACAGAGTTGGTTTTACACTGATAGAAAGAAAATGTTGGCAGAAAATGAAAAACTTTTATTGTTTCTGTAATTTGAGGGATGAAAGATACAGACTGTTTCTAAGTATTTGATAGAAAACTGCTGTGTTATGCAATGTAATTAGAAATATTTTTATAATGCTTTGTTCATATCCTGTGTATGAAAATACTTTATCTCATAGGTCCTTTCTTCTGTTAAAAAGGTTATGTAAATAAATAATAATCTCAATACAGTAGATTTTAAAGGCATCATACTTATGTTCTAAGCTTTACAGCAGGTTCTGATTACACAAAGTATAAATTAAAGAATGCCAGGAATAATCACCAACTGGACACTGTGCAGGATGAGTAACATGCACCACAATAAATATCCAAATCAGTTCCTCAGTTGGGTGAAGCATACTGTTAATAATGCCAGGGTCACAGTCATTCATTTGCTTAAGTGTTGGACTCAGTGATCCTTGTGGGTCCCTTCCAACTCAGAATATTCTGTGACTCTGGATCTCCATCCAAATATGGTCTAGGTTCACTGGTAATGGTGCAAAATGCACTACAAAATCATGCTGGACTACATAATGCTGTGGGGGAAATAAAGAAATTAAAAGATTACTAAAATCCATCATGAAAGGTGACTAAAATATTGTGGAGTTTAGTAATGGACATTGCTCCTTTCTCAGTTGTTGCAGTGCTGTTCCATTAATCCTCTGCCATGCAGTAGAGTTTGGGCTATTGTAATAGATATTAAACTAGGCCAGGAGCTGATGTCTAAGCTGGGGTGAGAGGAGGGGAAGAGAGATGAGATGCACATGAGACCCAAGGGATGTGCTTTCTCAAGGCCACAACTTTATTAACTGAACTCATATGGGAGTCATTGAGCTGTAACTTGTACAGTGCAGGTCAGGATCTCTCCCTTAATTGTTACCACCTGGTGCAAAGTTAATGTTGGCTCCTTAAACCCCTTCCTGCCCCTGACAGCTGGTCCTCAGCTTTTTGCTAGGAGCTGACCACTCTCTGCTCACACCAAGGTTACAGAGTTGGTAAGAGTGGTTGTTCCACTGTAGCAACAGGTGTGAGAAACTCTCATCCCCAGCTTTGTCCTCCACCTCCGTCCTACTGCCCCTCCATGGACTCCAGTCAACAGCTGTTTCCCTTTTGAGATTCAGGTTGCTGCAGCTCATCTTCTACCTATCCCACCAGGATGGTGAGCTGCCACGGGGAGGAGTCAGACAAGGAGGATACTGTTTGCAGTGAGGTTTCTCATCCCAAAAAAGACACCCACTGGACTCCCCACAAGAGAATGAAAATCTCAGCACTGCACTAACATGGCATTAGAGGAGGGGAGCTGCTGGGGAGTGATGAAGGATTCTGGCTAAACCACCAACATTGGTGTTTTGGAGGACTCCCAATCTGTCTGATTCTGGCTGTCACCTCACCCCACCTGTAGAGGCAGAGGCAATCCTGAATAGGACCACTGTTCTCTTTCCTGTCCAAACTGACTCTTCCCCTTCAATGTGGCTGAGCTTGCATCTTCATTTACATTTATCTATCCTCTTCATCTTAGCCTAAGGGCATTCATTGAACAGGAGAAGATAATTTATACAGTTGTAAAGAGACTGTACATAGAAAGGCTACAGAACTGGCTGAATAACATGTAAAAGCCAAGAAATAACTGATAAAATTATCACGTTAAAATGCTGATATTTGGGCATGAGCACTTCACATATGTCATGAAAACTATGGTTTATCTCCTTATTGCTTTGGAGATATTCATAATCCAAGAGGATATATTATGCTGTGGTTTACATCCTCTAAATCTCCACTGCTTTTAGAGGGCTTGTCCATGATGACTAAGAATTTGGTCACAAAAGTTGTTCTCCTCCCCCTCTCTATCATCGAATATTTGCTTTCATGCCAACACATCTTGATCTGATTAGTCCCCTTGATTACAGGCTAAAGTAAAAAGTCAGGTGTATAGGATTCCCATTATCCTTTATTTCGCTGCTTCTAAGAACAGGTCAGATAGAGTTATTTCAGTGAAAATGTGAACAATCAACTTCTGTTTACCATTAACCTTCAGTTTTCTTTTCTTAAAATCAAATCAGGGCTTGGTAGGCAGTTATTTTCATACATGTCCCTTGATCAGTGGAACAATCTGTCAAAGGCCATTAAAGCCTTTATTAGGTTGAATTGCATTCAAAGTTAAGCTATCCAATCATTTGAAGGGCTATGATGATTGTTTTTAATATAGTATACATTGATTTCTCTGTCTGAGTAGAAATGTAACTTTGAAACTAAGCATGTATGACTAGGGCATTTTGCTATCTGGCATGTCCTGAGAAGCTTTGTTTCTTGTGGAAGAGGAATGTCTACATAAAAAAAGGAAAAACAAATGCAGTGAAATCACCTGTATGTTCTCACAAGCCTTTCATTTTTCCTAGTTCATTGTAACCCTCACGGTATAACATATGTGGAGTGGGAGGAAATTTTCCAAGGCCCTTTGCTCAAAATCTTCACTGAAAAATTTTGACATCTCATTGTAGTATTTTAGAAGCGACTCTGTATCTTAAGATCTCAGGATTCTTTACACAGAGAAACTGAGGCAGAGGTCAAAAGTGCAGCAGGGATCTGACTGCTAGCACTGGAACCGGGGGTTGTATAACCCTCCATCAGTGGTATATCCCCATCACTTCCAGTTAACCAGCTCAGTTTACAGATTAAAGATGCTCTCATAGAACTTGTTGTCCTCCAAAGTTGTATCTGTAAGTGGAGCTTTAATCTGACCTACTCATGTCATATTTAGCACAATATTTATTTGCATAAGATATGATAATGCATCTCATGTAATAGAGATCTTTTGTGCCTCCTAAGGTTTGATTAAACTTTCCAGTGAGTCTTTTAGTTACAGTCGAGGTCCCTGAGCTCTCAGTGGAAAAGGTAAGTTTTATTGGAACTATTAAATTATTCCATGGAGACTATGCAGTATATAATACAATATAATACAGTCCACACTCTTTTACCTCTGTTTAAAGTATGGCCACTGCATGCCCTCAAGGGGGTATAACTGCTGTACTAGGAAACTCTTAAGAAAATACCCTGTGGGTATTTGTACTATTTACCAAGGTGAAGATGAGTTGCTGGAACAAACTGGAATGTTGGTTATGCACCTATTAGCACTTTAGTCTGGTACCTATTTGGTAGTCTGGTAGTACTTTACTGAGAGCACTACTTTATTAGTTATTTTGATGAACATCCTAATAGTGTATTACCCAAACATTATCAAAACATTCCACATTTCTTTCATTGCTGTTCTTTCTCTTCAGTCAACTAATGGCCCTCCTTTCCCTTTTGTCTCAGTATTAACAGTAATGTTATTAACAAGTTTTGTTCTTTGTTAGGCTGACATGACTTTAAAGTGAGAAAACTTTAGAATTATATATCAGATAGCAATCTCTGAAGTACGTTTATTTTCAAAC